CTCTCTCTCTCTCTCTCTCTCTCTCTCTCTCTCTCTCTCTCTCTCTCTCTTTGCGGGTCGGCTTCCTTGTGCCAATCCATTCCCAGAATCAAGTCAAAGGCTAAGTTCTTCTTTACGAGGAAGGTTACATGCAATATTCATTTTCCCTCCTTCGTTCGAAAATAACACTTAACACGACTAACATACTGAGAGACAATAATTGTGCTTTTATCCGCAAGCATACACGTGATAGGTCGCGGTAGGTCCTGCGCGCGAATTCCGAGATGTGATTTCTTAATTGCCATTTCTGAGATGTAGGACCGCGTTGACCCAAGATCTAACAAAGCACCTACTCGTGTACGTGTAATCTCCATGTCAGCAATCATGAATTCACACTTAGACTTTGGTTTCTTAACCCACAAACTTCTCAAAGCTATGAGTTCATTTCCAAGTTTGTCAAGGGTATCGCTCAGGGAGACAGAACATAGAACAATCTCAAGGTGTTCTGAGCAATGGGCCCGAAGAAAAGCCATCCTTTGCCATATGAGTCGGGGGGTTGAAAGGGGTTATAGGCGCCTTACCTTCAACTGAACCCTCCAACTCACAAGGAGAAGACGCTACTCCTACTGGCCGCTCCCTTTTGGGTTACGAATGAGAGGGCACCATGCAATATTGTGTCCCGTAGTGCCACACTTGAGACGCTACCGATTGTTCATTCGTTCATGCCATTCATCTCTTGTCATATTCATTTTCTCCCAGGACCTTTCGACTGCAATGTCGGGATGCTCCGGGAAGGAGTGTGGTCTCTTCTTCTTACCGTATCCACAGGAGTTGGTGCCACCCTTGTTGGTCACCATGGCAGTGACGTCACCCTTTCCAGACTCACTGCCAACGCTTACTCCACCCTCGGCCTCATCGAGATCAATCATCTCAATTGTGTCATCATTGAACCTGATGAGGGTGTGTTCATGTCGCTTCTACAGCCACATGACACACTTACCATTCCCATACCCACCGGACGGACCACTTCGCACAACAAACGCATATGCGCCATTTACCTGTGCAGTCATTCTCTCCCTTTGGAGCGCGAGGTCCTGAAACTGTCTGTAGTTATACTTACTGAATTTTACCTCGGTCACGAGCTGTCCATGGATGGGCTCGGGCAACGCACGAGAGTGGATGTACAATACTTGGTTGTCATGCGGGTTCAAACCTGGTACCCGCAACAAACGATCCACTTCGCCAGACAAGGCTTCCACAATTGTCCAACGCTTCTGGTGAATCATTGTAAGCTCGTCAAATGCGTTATCGACAGTCGTTTTGTAGAGGAATCTCTCCTTGATTTTCTGGAGAAATTCCCGCAAGACCATAGTCTTCGCCCACTCATTGATATCCTCAAGGCCAACAATGTTAGCCTCAGACAATACCCACTCCTTACCAACTTCGCCAAGACAAGAAGTTGAAAACACAACTTCGCCAAGACAAGAAGTTGAAAACACAACTTCGCCAAGACAAGAAGTTGAAAACACAACTTCGCCAAGACAAGAAGTTGAAAACGCAACTGGGTTTCGGCCTCCACAGGAGTCGTGCCATAGTAAGTATGTATTTCTGCTATCCACAATAGCAGATGTTCCTGTCGCTTACCGTTATACGTGTAAAGAAGTTTCATTTTGACTTTCTTCATTTTGTTTAGGTGTTCCCCTTCTTCCTTCTTTGAAACTTCCTTCTTGGTGTTTCTTTTTTTCTTCGCCGGTTCTTCAGGTTCCTTTCCAGATGTCTCTGGCTTTTCTGGCGTCTTCTTAGAACCTTTCATAGCATCTTGCATCAACTTCTCATAGGGTTTCTTTTCTTCTTTCCCTTCCTCCTCCTCATGTACCACTTCGTTCTTTCCTTTGACCTGTCTTGTCACCGTCTGGAGTTCGACGGTGACATTGTCAATCTTGATCTCTAGGTGTGCAAGTTAAGCCATCATGTATTGCAAGACGGTTGACAGGTTAGCTTCTAAACCTTCTACATTAAACTTTTGCCTAATTTTTTGTACTTTCTTTGTTTGTTCTTCTTTTTCTCTCTTCGCTTTCTGATAGGCTTCGTTCTTTTTCAATTCCGCATCCAATGCAGTCGGAAGTTGTCCGATGGTGTCATCTATGATCTCTTTTTTTAGCCTTTTTTTCTTCTTTGCACTGCAACAAAGTGATCAAGAACCATTCACGCTTGATCAATCAGTTGCTGCACACTTCTTTTGTTTTCCATCATCTGGACAACAGTTTCAGCCGATTTTAGTTCATCTTCTGCTGCACGCAAATCGAACAGACTGCTTACATCTTGTCCAGCCTCAGGGTCAGCGTCTTGTGCTTCTTGGAGCAACTTGTGAAGACTGTTCAACATTTGTTGTCATCGATCTTCAATCTGGCCTCGGGTTCTTATCTTCGCCGCCTCCTCATCAGCGAAGAGGGTGATAGAGATGCGGTAGAAAAGAAAGGGAATGAAACGGGTCAAGATGGACGCACACATACATTTCCATACAAAAGTCATTCTGACAAATGAGTTCGCCGCACAATGAATTTACAAAGACAACAACAAATTCAACGGCCTCACTTCAATTTACTTCCTATGGCAAAGGAAATAAAAGAAATAAATAAAGGTTCAAATTCCTCTTTATTTTCTAATTCTGCTGTTTGTTCTGTGTGATGACATTGCTATCCGAGAGTGGTACAGGTACCGCAGCCACGAATAGTGTGATCTAGACAACAGCACAGTTGGTGAGTAGCAGACATCCACAGAACAACCCATGGTGAGTAGAGTCAACCAACAAAACAACAATCAATCAATATGTGAGCAACTCATCCTCTTCGACTGTCCTTCTGCAAATGCCAATGCAGCCATGCGCAAGGGCCGACACGTGGCAGTACAACCTTATCGTGATGCTGAACCACCCGCCAACACACACGAGTGCAAGTATCAGTCCCTCACCAATCTTCAGGAAGCGGCAGCGCGCGCCTTCTGCCACGTGTCATCCCGTGTCAGACTAACACAACACCGCCACGAAGTGTGCCACGATAGAGTCAATGGCCAGCAAGGCCGTCAATAGGCATGCCTCATCAGCAGCGCACTATCTGCCAACTCATTTGTCACTGGTATGCCACGTCAGATCGAAGATACCGCTGGAATATGAAAGCGCCACATCAGCAGATGAGTTGCGAAACAGGTGAGGGCCACGTCAGACAATACCCCACCGACTCCTGGATGCCACGTCAACACCGACGCGCATTGCCACGTATGCAGCGCTCCCAATGCCATGCTAGCAGTCT